ACATACCTATATAATTCAACGTTATTAATTTAAATATTTTCTAATATTTACAATTTTATTATTTATAGCATTCAAATAATATACTTATTCATAAAAATAATATTAAGATTTCTGATTTTGGAATTTCCAGATGTTTAGCTTATGCAACCAATACCAAGTCAAGTATTGCTGGCTATATCCCATATGTTGATCCTTATGTTTATAAGAATTTTAATCAAGAATCTTATAAAATAAAGAAGGAATCCGATATATACAGCCTAGGTGTGCTCTTGTGGGAAATATCCAATCTATGTCCTCCATTCAAAAAATATAATGATATAAGTGCTTTGTGTTTACATATATTGAATGGTGGTAGGGAAGTTCCTGTTGAAGGAACTCTACCACAATATTCTGCTTTATTTACTGGTTTGCTTACTGATATATTCTACGTCATATATATTTGGCATTCACTATTATGATTTAAAATTAAATATTGGATTATTTATTGAAGAATGCTGGCATGGTGATCCGGAAAAACGCCCTAAAATTGACGACGTTACACGTGAGCTCAGGTGAAAATCTAATTTTATTTTCTAATCATCTTAATTAAGTTTGTTAACCAACTATACTAACTATACTAATCAACTGTACGTCGATATACTAGGATGTAAGTATATTTTATTCAATAAAAAAACAGAAAAATTCAAAAATGACTTTTTTGTTATTAATTAGCTTATTCAATTTCTAGAATGTAAGTATAAATTATCATCAGATTTTAATATAAGCGTTCATTAAGCACTTCTTTATATTTTGTGTAGACGGTATGTGCTACATTTTTATCTAAAATCAGACGTTTATAAAATCAGAAATTTATAACTAAATAATATTTTTAAATCAATTATACTATGCTAAAATTAAAGAAAGTACGTGAAAATTGAATATTATTAATTTATAAAGTTAATATAGGATAACTTATATAATAAATTCTATGAATTACCAGGAAAACATATGAAAAGAAACTAGAGCGATTTAAGGCTTTTTATAGCACCTTTTGCCCTCCTAATAAAGTTTTAGACTCGACCCTCCATGCCAATAATATAGAGAAAAAACTAAAGACGCTATCGCAGCCAGAGTTACAACTTAAACTTTTACCTTCGCAGTATTTAGAGAATCATGAAGATATCATTATGAATGCAGCAGAAATATATGAATTCACAAATTTAAAAACTTTTACAAATATTTACGAAATGCAACTAAAGCAAATTACCGATAACATTCAAGTTGATTATGTTGTCAATACATTAATTCCTGTAGTGCGTGATGAGCATGTTAAAACTTTCAAGAAATATGAAAATAAGGAATGGGTGAAAATTAAATATTCTGAAGCATTCCCTTTATGGAAGGGTGTTATTGATGTAAAGACTGAGCTAGAATTAATTAGTAGTAAAGTAGTTGTTTTGAATAATAGTGATATAAATAATTTAGAAGACTCTCTAAAACACCTTACCTCTATACCAAAGTGGAACGAACGACTTCAAAACTTATCTGTACTTGTTGAGATTTTTAAAGTGGCACTTAAAACTGAGAATTGGTTAGGAAAATCTTTGAAAATTTTGAGAGAAGACGTAATGATTTTAGGAAATGTTGTTGAGTTTGTGAAATATGTTAAGGAACATACTCCAGATGATAATGAGAATTATTGGTCATTGATTAAAGAATTATCGTCTGCTATTGAAATTCTAGAATTTCTTCAGACCACAGCTGAACATGATATTAAGAATTTAATCAATGGTCTAGATGATTTTTCTAATGAACAGTTAACTCAAAAAAACACTTTGTTATCACTCATTGAAGTTAAACAGTTGATTGTGCAATTAATGAATAGATCCAATAATATTGATGAATTTTTGAAAGTTTTGCAAAAAATCAGTCAGGAAAATCCATTTTTACCCATTGAAATCCCAACATGTGCTAGCTTTAATATGGCTTTACAAAACATGTAAGTTATTTTCTGTAATATTATCATATAGCCATGAATCTATGCTCTGCATGCTTAAATATTTGTTGTCTTCCTTAGGTTTAGAAACATTTCTTCTGACATTCATGTCGAAAGGCGCACGTACAGTTACAATTTTTTGCCAGAAGTACTTTCTGACATTCGTGTTGTCGTAGGAATAGGTATGAATAATATTAAAGACATACTTTTGAAATTTTAATTCATGCAATTTTGCCCGCTCAAAATACTTCTATTATTATTATTATTAAATAATTAGATTTTGGCACAACATTTTCGGTAACTTCATTATCATATTTCGGTGAAATTTATCTGTTATTACTCATTTTCATTTTTTTTTTTTTTTAAAAAAATTATCTATACAATTACAGGGCTTTGCATGTGCTAGTATTAGCTCCCGTGATATTATAACTAACCAAAGTTGGCCAGGTGTAAATGGCCAATTGAAAACTAATACTGTATTACTATATAATGAAAATTATGAGGGTGTTGTTGAGTGGGGTTCCCGTGCTTTAGTTCCAGAAATCGGACGTCGAAAGAGCAGATTAGAAAACTTACCAAGGCCAATTGAACTTTTCAAACTTCATTTAGGCAATGTTCCAGAAGATCAAAAGCCAAAGTTACCATGTGGTCTTAAGCCTGAAAGGGTTATTACTGATTACCTTCGCGAGATGGGTGTGTAAAATCATTTATTAATTAATCTGTCTAATGTTAATAACTTTTTAAATAAAATTTTCGTAATAATTGTAGGCAAGGTAAAAGTTTTTTACTTTTGAAGATTTAGAAAAGTTTATTAAATATTTTACTGAAATTATTTACTATATATGTTATATTATATAGTTAATAAAAGAAACAGTTGAAAAACATAAGCCAGGAGCAAATTTTTTTAAAATGGTACGCTTAGTGGTCACCATTCCTGCAGGTAATTTTGCAAATCATAACATTAGTAGTACTTTAAAGAATTAAATTTAAAACCAATATAATTATATAGAATTTAATAAGCAAACAAAAGCTTTTATGAGGCATTGTATTCACAAAGCTAATTTAATTAGCAATAGTGGTACACAAAACTTACAATTCATTACAGAACGTAAGAATTCATTTTATTTAATTTATATTTTCATATGAACATTTTAAAGTTTTATAACACATTAAATTTGTAGCCGAAGCTGCCGCCGTACACTGTATAAAAATATTAAATGACCATGAATTGAAAGTCGGATGTACGTAATTATATTAATTAGAAACAACATATTTTCATAAAATAATTTAATAATTTTTTAATGACTAATATCATTTAAAAAATTTTAAGCAACCTATCTAATTGTTGATTGTGGAGGTGGAACAGTTGATTTAACCGCTC